TGTGCAGTGTGTATGTTTGTGTGTATGTGAGTGCGTGCAAAGTGTATGTATGTGTGTATGTGTGTACGCGTACGTGTATGTGTGTGTGTGTGTGTGTGTGTGTGTGTGTGTGTGTGTGTGAGTGTGTGTGTGTAAGTATGTGAGTGTATGCGTGTGTGTATGTGTTCGTGTATATAGGTGATTGTGTTTGTATGTGTGTATCTAAACTTATGTGTGTATGTGGGCGTATGAGTGTGTGTTTGCGTGCGTGTGTGTATGTGTGTGCAAGTGTGTATGTGTGTGTGCGCGGGGCGCGCCTGAGCGCGTGCGCGCGTGTGTGTGTGCGTGTGTGTGATACTTTAATTGTCTTGTGGTCTTAATTTGACAATGTCCAGCTTTTGTGGTGTTGCAGTTAGCGGCTTTACCGCCCGACGCACAAGACCTGAGCTTGTTCATTAATTAAGAGGGGAGTATTTTCATCGAGTATTTCGGTCTCTCTACAGGGGCGTTGTATCCCTCGCATTCCGGTTTGGTACTTACCGGCAGGGGCGAAGCCACCCCCTAAATAATCTAAACCGTGTGGATGTGGGGGTAAAATACCCCAATCTAAAAGGGAAAATATCTAGATAATCTTTTCCTTTCTAAGTACAACACTTTGTCAAAATAGTCTGAACGGGTTAGAAAAGAAAACAAACTTTAGGTCATTCCCAAAAGGGGGGGGGGGGGCATTTCTCGTTCAAGCACAGTAGAATTGTGAATGGGCTGATTCATGTCGCGCTCATAACTGTGCCTGATCTACAACAGGGAACTGCTGCTTTTTCTTTCGTAATCCTTTCTATTGTCATTTTTTTCCTCTACTTTTGCATGTTTGTCACTCTCTTGTGACCTGCTATTTCCGGGGTGCCTTGATAGTCGAAGCAGACCTTGTGCTGTTGAAGCTAGAGAGGTGAACAGAATAAGTCTGATTCCCTGTAAAGACTTCTCTGTTGACACCCACCCCTTGGCGCTTATATGACCTTATGCAGTCGCGAGCGCCGTAAAACCCTCTACTATTAAAAAAAAAGAAAAAAGAATATCTTGATAAGGACTCCGAATAATCTTACGATTTTGATAGAGCAGCTAGGACATGAATACTTGGTTTCTGACCCCATGGTCTTACGGTACCTCAAAACGGCCAAACATTTTCAGATAGAACTTTGTAATTCTAAAGCAGCAAATTGTCTGTATGTTGTTTTTGTTTTTGTTTTGTTTTTTGTTTGTTTCTTCTTTTTTATAATATACTGTGCTTGATTCTTCTTCCTACAACGGTTGTAATTAGCAGACACAGTGATTGTCAGTTTGCCCATGACGGCTTTTCTTTTTTTGAAAACATCTGGTTTCTGGCCTCGTGGTCTTAGTTACTCAAAACGGCCAAAAATGTCAGATAGAACTTTGTAAATCTAAGATAGCGAAATCCAAACATACCTGCATGACAAAGAATTCCCAGCAAAACGAGGAGAAGTCCAAACTTGCAACAATATCTTGACAGATCCATATTGTCCTGTGATCTTGGAGAGATTCAACCACTCACTGACCAATCGGACGTCCTGTCGGCGAGGAGGCTGGTGGTGTCCACACTCGGCCTTTTTTTTTTTTTTTTTTTCAAACTCACTCTCAAGACAACACTCCCTCGCCTGTTTCACGCCAGCTGCTCACCTGAAATTCCCGAAAAATAATGATGAAGTAGAGATATCCACAGATGCAATGAAAAATGGCACTAAAACTGAATTGCTCGTGTTAAAGTTCTTGAATCCAAAAGTTGCACAGAATATGTTGAAAACCTCAGACTAAGTCCATTTTCCATGAGAGATGGAAAATAGGCAAAGAGAGAGAGAGAGAGAGAGAGAGAGAGAGAGAGAGAGAGAGAGAAAGAGAGAGAGAGAGAGAAAGAGA